TAATGTGATGGTGTCCCTTTAAATACCTTCCCATTGTAATTTATTTACTCCGGGGATGATGGCATGAAGTTCACACTGGAAATGCTCATAGCTCCTGAGGAAGTTAAATTTGCCACAAGCTTCACAGCCTTCTTCACAGAGAGCTTTTGCTTTCAGATCATACCAAAGCAGGTCTCTTCCTCCTCATTTCTCCCTCTGTGAGAGATGGGACCCCAAACACTTCCCAAAGGGATGCTTGCAAACACAATGACTCTCCCACCAAGAGAGGAAAATGAAGATTCAGGCAGTTCAGGTGGGGCTCGACAGGATGCTCTTCTTTCACCATGTCAGGATTTCACATCCAAAGATGGAAGTCCAGAGGCTTTGGTGTCACAGCTCCCACAGAACACCTGGGTTACAGCACTTGGTGGGGAAATAGACTTTTCCTCTTCCCACAAGCGAAGGAAAACACTGACAGGTCTTGATAGTGATTTGGCCATCATTTTGCTCAGACCCAGCTTCTTTGGAAACCTGCTGAGTTTTGCTAAAGAGGAGTCCAAGAAAAAGCAGAGTAAGGATGTCAGGATCTGGCATGCTGTGGGAAGCCACATCAATGATTTAAGCAGATCAAAACTGCCATTGTGGGATACAAATTCCTGTACCAAACTGAAAGTCTGAATCCTGCACAAATTGTTTATATTGCATATTATCACATTAAATGATGTTTCTGTAAAAATGTGAGGCTTTTCAATGCCAGAATTGTTCATGTCATAAATGCTTGAATAAAGCAACAGCAAAAGTCTGTAAACAGAGGAAAGTGACTGCCTTTGCTTCCTCTCATCAGCATGTCTGTATAAAAATCTCCTTTCCTGTTTACTGTTTGTCCTGTTTTCAAGTGTAAAAATTCTAGCAAAAAAATACTGTGTAGCAGCTGGCCCATTTAAGGAGGTAATACATATTATTCAAGTGATTACACGAATGGCTAAAAGTGGTGCGTTATTCCCTATTTTCATTTGTACAACATCGCTTCAGCATGGTGATGAACTATGTCAACCAGGAACCTTAGCTGCCTTCTATTGGAGAAAGCCCCTCAAAGATCTTTGATGTGACAGCAAAACTGGGAAATATTACTGACTCACAGCCTTTAAGCAATCAAGAACTGATCAAAGCAGTGACTCAAGAATTCAAGGGAAAAATTACATGCTCAGGGAAATGAGGAAAGCTTATTACTGACTGATATTCAATAGAACGGGCAACCGAAAGTCTGATTTTGTGAAATATGCTTTTAATTGGTATTCACCGACATTGTATATTTCTTATGTAAAAAGCAGCTTTTAATTAAAAAAAAATTAATGGCTCAAAATTCCAGTCATGATAGTGTGGGGTGAAAACACTGTCTCATTTCAACTCTGTCCAACTGCAACGTAAAATACAAGGCAAGGAGGAAGCCAGAGGTCTTCAGGGTTCACCTCTGTAACCTCAGCCTGGGAGCCATCAGCCTTGTGCATATTTCTCCTCTGCCACAAAGTGAAGGGTTGGTGAGGGCATCCGAGCGTCATTCAGTGAAGTGCCTATACCTGCAAATTAGGCAGGGGCAAAGCCTGAGTGCTGATGTGTTGGGATGGTCATGCCCCAGGTCATTGTCCAGCTCTGTGGGCAGCAGCACACTCTCCACCCAGTGCCTCAGCGCAGCCTGGGAGATGAAGGCAAGAGAGCTAAAGGCACACTGGTTTTGGGGAGAATAAAGTGCAGCTCCCCTGAGCCACTCTGTGCCATGTGTCCCTGCCCATTGCACTCAGTACTGGCTTTGGCTTGGGGTTTGGTATGACGACATGCTTGCTTTCCAGGGAGTCTCAGATCCCTACAACATGGCCATTCAGGTAAGATGGTATGTGAAACAAAAGGCAAAGTGCTGTCCTCAAACACAGAAGTGCACCTGGGGAATCTCCTGTCAACTGTCCAAAGGCAATTAGGTTTGGACATCCAAAAACTTCAGGAAGGCTCTTACAACACACAATTATGTGTAGTTATTTTGCTGTGCTCTCTTTTGTTCTAGTCAGGTCAAATTGCCACATTTCCCAGGTCCCTACTATGACTGCGCCATCACTAGATTTGGGACACTGCCCAGGAGCCCACGTGTACAGGGGCGACTAGAGTCTGTCACCCAGCCTGAAGACTGCTGTCAAGGGGACATGTTATGTAGCTCCACGTAGCTGTGGCCGCTGAGCATTAGTGAAACAAGGTCATACTCCAGAGAAGTTTCCTTCACAGGCAGATTAGAGGTGGGATGGGGAAAATTTCTTTCACCTGATAAGCATTAGCAAATTTTTGCTTTTGCTGAAAACACCCATTTATTTGTTCAGTGAACCATTCCCTCACACTAGTTGCGTATAATTTCATGCACCTCAAAGACTAGCAACTAACTGGTTTTCTGATTGTCCATTGATTGGTTGTCAAGCATCTCTCTATATAATATACGTTGATTATGCCAATGATCATGTAAAAACTGAAGCTGCTTGTCTTAATGTTGGCTACTATTCCCACTAGATTTTATTTTTTAAAAGATCTCAAATGCTGCAAAATGAGAATTGTAGTTTTTTAGTGAATGCTGAGAGGATGATCCATGCTGACAGGAATTCACTTGCTATCTGCCACAGGTAGCCCAGCATTAAGGTATAAAGCTTCGGGGTACTGAAAGGATTTGATCTAATCTTATATTATAAGAAGTATCCAACATTGTACATTCTCTTTTCCAACACAGAAACTTATGTACAGCCTAAGGGCCCAATCCTGCTCCTCTTTATATCAGTTGGAGTTTTTGCCTTTTCTTCAGTAGCAGAGGGAGAGGGAGCAACTTTTATAACAGCAGTAATGATGGTTAGTCCTTCAGTCTTTCCATCTAAATAACTCCTTAATGGGAGAAGGCAGAAACAACTATGCTAGAAATGCTACCTGTGTAATTAGAGCTACCTGCCTCCCTGCTTTTTTTTCTGTCAGGTAACTTCTCTTCCTTTGGTCTTCCTTGCTAAAAATCTGAAGTTTGGTGCATTGACTGGAAATCTGGATTAAGAAAGGGACAGGCTCTTTCAGCAGAGGTCGAGATGTATGAACATCAAAAGATTCAGGGTTCTTCTATGAGTCATAAAAACAAACACATTAACTACACTAGAAGGACATAATCACAGCATGCAAATACTCTCAATACTAAACACTTGTAAGTAGAGGATAAATTGCACTTATTGAAACAAAACTTGAATACAGAAGCCGATGATTGAGACTTAAGGATGCTTTTCATTTTCTTTCCCATCTTGTTAGCCAGTAAAATGCTTTTATTGTATCCTATCATCACCATTCGTTGTAGCACATCAGACTTTAAACTAAGAAGATATGTTACAGATACTGTGCATAGCTGCGGAAACTGGGAAACATGAGGACTTAGCTGAATGCAGGTTTTCTCTGCCTGATCTTTTCTAATATAAACATTGGAGCACTCATATGACAAACCCTGGGACTGATTCCACAGTGTTCATGTTGGCAATCCTTTTCCTTACAAATAACACAAGTCCTTAGAAACTGGCTTCTGGCTACTTGCAAGAAGCACTCATCTCTTTTTCCATCACCTGGAACTACAGGACTGTGGTAAAAATATAGAATTAAAAGAAAATGTTGACCAAGACTAAGGACTGCATCAAGTGCTTTTAATAGCTTCAAACACAGAGAAAGAAATTATATGTATAGGCTTGGAGAAAACAATCCAAAAAAGTCTGTTTTCATATTATGTTACCCATTCCTGACTGGCTATAAGCAGCAGAGCCTGATCCTGCTAGGTCTTATTCATGTGGGTAATCCCTTTGACCCTAGTCATAAATACATTATTCTAGCTCAAGATAATCTCCAAGTATCAACCTGAACTGATGTCTGTGCTCTTGAACACAAATGTACATTTTCTATTTCTTCAATCTCAGAGCTGCAATGCTAAGCAGGCTGTCTTAACATAATATTTTGCTTAAAAAAATAAATAAAAATCCAAGCATATCCCACGAGGTCTGACTTCTAAAAAGAAAAAATCCAGGTGGCTCAGTTTGGAAAAAAAGTTTGGATTTGTTGTAGTTCTCTTTCTGTGTGCTTTTTTTCCCAAAGGCAGACATTCATACACATATAATTCCCTCTTCTTGTCACTGGGCTTCTGGGTCAGTGAACATTCCTTTGCTGTAGTGTTTTTCAGATGAAACTCCAAGAGAAACACTGTCCTCAATGATGGGTCGGATACAGAAGAGGAGGATGGGCAAATATTCTAAGATTGGCCTGGATTCTTGCCAGGAGCAGAAGAAAAGAGCCTTTGTGTTTGGACATCTGAAGGCCAGGCATAAACATGTTAGCCGATACTTAACACCCAAAGCCAGAGCCAAAACCGTTAGACACCCTGAATAATCCTCACTAGGCCTCCTTTGGGTTTCAACTGCCCATTACAATGGGGCAGCCTCCTCCAATTACCAAATGTGTTTCTTCTAAAAACATCCTTACAGGAACTCCCAAAATAGCAGCGATTAAAAGCAAACAGCCTGTAATTCATTGACATATGCAAACCTTTTAATGTTTTGCAGGAGACAAGTTGCAACTTTTTGTACCTACAAGACTATTTATGCATTTTTAATAATTACCCTTGTATATTATGTGATACAATTCCTTTAGGCATTTAGTTAAGAGAAGCAACAGAATTCACATTCAAAAGAAACTGTTAGTTTTGCTGCAAGAAGCGCAGCTAATTTATGTAGTGAATTTTTTATACATTTTTCCCCTGATTTCTCTTCCCTGCTGTCCTCTTCCCCCTTTCTTCTCCACTACATTAAGAAATTCCGATGTGCCTGCAGCAACATCCACTGGTGGGGAGTGTCTGCAGTGATGCCAGCCCTGACTTCCCAGCAGTGGAAGCCAGGAATGTGGGCTGCTTCAGCAGTACTCTCTGTCTTATAAGCCCCACTGGGAATCGCCTTACCCTGGGGTCCTCTCTAATCACATACCTTCTGTGAGCTGGCGGGTTCCCTTGTCGCCTGACAGACAGCAATCCCGATCCCATCAGTTCTGTACAGAAAACAGCACGAGGAAATCTTTCCTGCAGATCAAGAATAAAGATGCTTTCACAACCAATGTGATCCTGCAAGCTCTGACTTGTATTCAAGCTCAGATTCCCGGATTGCTTGCATTTTGGCTAACGCCTCAGCTCTGGTTTAGGATGAACTGATCAAAGCGCCAAGCAGGGAAACTCAGGCACAGGGCTGGGCATAGTATGCCTGCCGTTTTCACCACCAGCACGGGCACACAGAGTTTTGGGAACATAGTGCCTGAACTAGCAGCACAACCTGTCAAAGTAATGTAGGTTGTAGCAACAGGCAGCGCTTGACCTGCCTCGGGGATAAAATGTAAAGAGCTAGTTTCTTCCTCATCAAACAGCAAAGGACCAGATCCACATCTGTATAGTCACATTGATCTCATACATTTATACCTGCCAAAAACCTGCTCCTCCCTCTCTTCTTACAACAACAACCAAAGAAATCTAGGTCGAATACGTTGGTGTTACTGCTGTTTGACAATGTATTTGAGGAAGGATTTTCAAGTTAGCCATTGTAGACACTATAGATACTTAGGGAAAATGCAAATAAAACCCACTGCTTAGCATGTGTGGGTCACAGTTCTTGCACAACAGCATTTTCCCTCAGCTTCAGAAGATAGTTTGTCAAATCACGGACTTCATCTTCCCATTTTAAATTAGCAGTAGATAATTAGGAACTGCCCACAATTAAATATTGATGTTAAAAAATAAATAAATCCCAGCACTTCCCTGTTTAGACAGTAAGAAGACGGCTTTGCATCGAAAAACACAGGATACATGAGAATGTGAATAGTAAAAAGCTCATAACAAAGAATGATAAACTCTTCTTTGTGTGCTTACAGCATTCATTTCTTTCTCTGTAACTGAGAACCTATACAAACAAATGGGATAAAAAAACAACATACACCTTGATATCAGCTGTAATCTGCCAATTCTTCAGCCAAACCTACTGGAATACAAAATAAAGGGGCAAGGTTTACACAAGGTGCACACCAAGTCAGCCCTTGTCTCAACAAAACTGTTCCTCAGCTCCGACAGCTGTAGTAGGACAAATCTAGCACTAACAAAACCACTTGCCCAGGAATATCAGTATATCAGCCCAGCTCCTTGCTCGTTCCCAGCCTTCACTTGAGACTGTGGCTTGCTATGGGTGAATCATTTTATGGCTACACTAGCAGCAATATCAAGCCCCGCATCATCAAAATTTCTGGACATCCTGCTGTGTGGGAGGATGATCTTTGATCTTTGGCTGCAGAGCACATGGCATGCACAAGCTAGTTTCAGTATCTGGAAAAAAAAAACAACTGAGCAAGAAGCATCTAAGCCTGTCTCTAGCGCACATGGTGGGACTTGGACTCTGTAGGGCCGTCATTCAGTCTGGAGTTGGACTCCCTGAGCCTGTGCCACAGAGGATTCTTATGTACACATGTATGTGCTCACAGCCTGCTTGCAGCCACAGCAGGGGTAGGGTTGCCAGGTACCTGAAAATCCTAGGCAAATGTAGAAATTCTTTAAATTTTTCCTTAAGTTTTCTAGATAGGGCAAGAGAATCAACCATGGAGAACTATATTTATTTGCCCTTATGTTCTTTGTGGGAGTCCTCTCCTGGATTTAGGTACCTCCTCTCATATTTCCTACTTCCAATAAGTACCAAAGAATTCCTCAGCCAGGTGAGTGGATGCTCTAGTTCAATCTCAGAGGAGGGCACTGGGAGACCCTGGTTCCGCTGAACTTGAGCACATAGAGCTACTAGATTGAAAAAAGGGCTATTTCTCCCTGACCTCATCTCAATCCCCTAGCAAAGCTCCTTTCCTATGTCTTTACATGCCTGAATGGGGTAATGGAAATGCAACGTTGATTCAGTGCATCACAGTGACTCTCTGTTTGTAGCAAAGTTATTTTGAGGAGAAAAAACACTTCAGGGTAAATAAGCTTTATCAAAAGAATTGCAGCAATTCATATAATAGTAACAATTCAGAGCAAAAGTGCAAGATCATACCTGTTTCTGACTCTGACACTTTGGGCAACATTCATCGACAAGAGAAATCATGGAACAGAACCACAGAACTAACATTTCTTTCCCTCATTTTGTGGGCCAAAATTATTGTCTCAAACCCTTTTGAACACATAGATGCTCAGGTTACTTTGAAGCACTGTCATCCCAATCTGGGTGGATTTTCCACCACCAGGGAGAAGCCAGCCAGCCCTGTCACAGTCACTGATGCTGGCCTCATCCTGGTGAGCTTGATGAGTTGATTTTGGTTAACAGACCAGACTTGCTTATGGCACCATCCCACCCACCAAAGTGTCACATTCCTCCAGAAGCCCTTAGAAATTGGACACACAGCACCTTAATGGAACAGTGGACATTCATTTAGGATGGCAGCTTTCCTGCACGATTCAAGAGCTATAAGGAGGTAATTATTCATGGATTTCTCTGTGTGACAAAACTATTTAGAAGGGATTGCAATGTGATGAACACTACTGAGGGAGGAGTGCCTTCTTTTATTTCCCCAGATAAATAGAGTCACCACCCAGCACCATTGTAGCCTCCTTATTTCTCGTTAACCGTAGCATTTCCTTTCTTGCCCCCCAGAAAGCACAATGATGTAGACTGGCAGTATCTCTCCTGCCCTAATACTTCACTACAGTATATACCTTTTCTTTCGACCCTCTCTCTTGAACCAGATTTAAGCCTCTGGTAGGCTTCCTGCAGACACCTCTGCAAAAAAAAGAAGGATCATTTAGGAGACAGGCAGGAGTTATCAAATAAACTTTCATTTTATTTACAGTTCAGGAGCCTTGCAGAATGACACACTTATGGTTTGGGATCACTAGCAATTATTGTAAAGGTGAAAGCAGATACTGCAAATTTAACAAGCCTTTTGTATGAACTAATTGCATTAGAATACATTAGTAAGGGTGCACATTGTAGGTTTTATGTTTCATTGGAAAGGTCATCCTAGATTCTGGTTGAATAGTGAAAGAGAGGAAACCATATTAGCAGTGTATCCAGCAAGTGTCTTTAGGATGAATTTCCTTCAGGTCATTTGCATTATTTGATTGTAACTGAATAGTTCTCCCTCTGCTAAGCAAGTAGGGGAAGACCTACGGTGACAATAGGGGAAATTCAAAGTCTTTGAGCCTTATTAGAAGGCTCATTTTCTGCACTCATTTTCATACACTCGTTTCCCAGAACTAGGCTAGCAGCTGTATAATCAGGACAGCAACTATGCCTGCCTCCTGTAAAATATGAACCTCTCAGGGAAAGCTGCTGTTAGTTTTCAGGAGGCAAGAGGGTTCCTGCTTCTTCAAAGGTGTGACACCCTGTTATGCCACAACACAAAGCCCCCCTTGCTAGTCCCTCTGCAAATGATTTATGCTGGCTGCCTGAGGGAGGGCACACCAGGGGGATGTATGTTAGCAGAGAATTCCTGAGCAGACCCAGGGCACTATCCAGGCCCTGCTTCAGCCACCTTGGGTGTCTCTAAACACTGTGTTGGGGACAGTCACTACTCCAGCTCTGCCAGCCCACAGGGCTCTGATGGCTTTGCAAGCCTGGGGGTGGTGGCAGCCCTGAAGAGACTGCAGAGGGTAGAGAGGTGGTAGCAACAGAACCAATGTTTAGGGAAGGGAGCAGGAGCAGGGCAGCCCAGAGGATCCCAAAGGAGATGAAGGGGTGGGAAAGCTTGGCGCAGTAAGGCACAAAGTTTTGGTTCAAAGGGAAAACTCCTCTTCCCAGTTAGGCAGAACTTCCAGGCAACCATCTGCCAGTGCTGCCTCTTCCCATGGCTGCAGGATGAGGAGTAAGTGTCAGCCAGAGAAGGGCAGAGATGTGTCCATCCAGATATTCTTGATCTGACAGTATAAAATCTTCTGGTTACTCCATGAATAGCCCTCAGGATTTCCAGAAGAATGGCTGGTGTCCACTAGTTTTACTGAGTTGTGGACTTAAACCAACCCCCCAGAAAACCTCACTGTGTAAAAAGTAGGAGTTGGCATGACACTACACTAAGCAGTGCCAGCAAGGCTAGAAGAGAAGCTAAATGGATGTTCCAGATTCCTCTCTTCTTCCCCAAACCCCTTGCTATTGTGTAAGTGGCACAGAAAACACATCAGCCTCTGGGAGGGTGTAGTGGCATTTCCCCTGTCATCAGCCACCTTTACTCTGAAAGGAGACAGCTTCTACCCATCTGCCACCCCCAGAAGATGTAAAGGAGAGGAGCATATGGTTTTGAGAAAAGGAAAGGTCCCAATATCACAGCTTGGTAAAGCTATTGACTTACTGTCTGACCTCCAGCAAGACATGTGCCCTCCATCTGCCCAGCTCAGGCTGGCTGCAAGACAAGCAGAAGTGACTCGAGTGCAGAGATGCTGAGTTTGAGTTTATCTTGTCAGAGCCACAGCAGCTGGTCACCCCTCTGATACCGACAAGCGACATTAAAGCCCATTTCAGCCAGCTCAGAGTAGCTGGGTCTTCTCATTCCACAAATTCAAACTGACTGTAAGGATCCTAACAGCTTCCCAAGCCCAGGAGCACAAGGAGTGCAAAACCATAGTGCAACTGCTGCAAGGGCAAGCTGGGATCCCCTGGGCCCCATTGCACCTCTTCCCCCGAGCTTCAGCTGCTGCAGCCCCACAGGCTCACTGCAGCTGCTGGGACTGCACACTTGCTCCTTGCCTATAGCTCCTTTATATTCACGCAACCACGTCCAAGGGAGCAAATCAATCCACTTCATATTGTATGTCAGCCTGGCAAGGTTAAAACTTCAGTTCAGCAAAGCCCCTGTGCATTTGGCCATGGGGACTCATCTTGTGCTGCAGCACTGTGCTGGGGAGCACACCATGTAGGGGAGCTCTCAGGATGCAAGGGTGACTAAGCCCTGCTAGAAACAAGAGGCACCTCAGCCTTCCAGTACCTAGACAGCAAAATCTTAACACGGGAAAATTAAATATCGTCCATCCTTCATTAAAGCTGTATAGCAGCCCAAACAATAAT